ACGACCCCCCGCGCGCGGCGGCGGGGGCGGACCGCGTACAGGGATTTTTTCAAAAAAAAAATTTTCTCACAATTATTCACAACATATATAAATCGACTCAGTTTTTAACGCTGATTCCGAATTTGATATTAGTTTTGGACCAAATCGTAGCTTTCTAACAAAACATCCCCTGAAAAAGGTCTCAAAATGCAGAAACGCTGCATGCAAAAAGCAAATTGCCTAGATATGTCTCAGTTGATAAAAAACAAAGTGAATATACCTCTTCACTTTTTGAAGTATACATAACACTCGGATTTAAATTCGAGGTTTTTTTTATATAGCTTTTTCTAACTATTCAATGTATTCGTGTTAATTCATCTAATTCACAATTGAGTTTTGTTACTAAAAATAATAAATTTTTCTACAAGTCTTTATGCAATAGATTTAATACAGCTATTTACTACAGTTCCAAATTTTCCATGATTTTCACCATACAAATGTGGTCGAAATATTGATTTTATTCTTTATTCAACATAATTTATTAATGATCGTTGGTGATTAGTTATTTGTGGAAATGGACTTTGTGAACATTGTCTTTTATTTGTTGATGGTCAAAATAGAAAGGCAGCAGTGATTACCGATGAGTGTAGACTGAATGCTTGCATGCTAGATGAACAGTATTAAATCGTTCAAATGAAAGAATTAATATTGAATTATGATATTGAATAATATAGCGTAAGTAATTTGTTTTAATAATTTGGATTGTATTAAAAAACAAAATATTTGAAGGAATAAGTAAATAAAAAATTATCGAACGATGATCATTGGTTACGATACGAGACAAGAAGAAAAAGTCTAAGATAATTTTTCACGAATGGTAAAGTCAGAGAAAAAGCAGATGGTTAATAAGTTTTCTTCGGGACATCATTGGCTTTAAAAGTTTAATGTTTAATTTTATTCGTGATAATAAATTGTGCAGTCAAATACTTTAATGTTTAATCAAGAAGATGATGCTATTATTTTTTGAATGAGGCAAAAAAAGACACAATGAAATGTGAAAAATGAAAGATGCATAACTACTTGATGATAACATTTATTAGTAAGAGAGCAAAGATGAGTCAATATGCTATGTCTCTATTATTGAAATAATAAAATGGGATGCATATCTCATTTTAAGGTTAGTTACCGTTTGAAAATTACATAAAAAAAGTTGCATTTCTCACTATTTCGAATTTAATTTAATCCTATTTAAAATTGAAACTCGGCATTATCTATATTTGATTTTGAGCAATTAATATTCTAGCGACATAATATTCAAGATTGCGTGTTGGATTAAAAAACGAAACACTAAATTTAAAAAGAGCATATGAATGAAATTTACACAAAAGTTTGTCTCTTGATATCTTCAAGACGACAGATTTAGATGTGATCTAATCAAAAGAGCAAGTAATTAAATCTGCAACATTTGTCATCTCACATGATATCGAATAAAAGGTACAGCTTTTATTATTTGCGATGCTATGATGAATATTGGTTTTTTCAAATAACAAAAGAACTTTTAATGTCTTTTTAATCAAAATCTTATCAAAGTGACGTTCAAAATTCAATAACGACTAGTAGAATTTTGATGTCTTATATTTTTCAGCATCTGTGCCATTAAAAAAATGATCGTCGAAAGTCAAATGATGACATATGATGATGAAAAAGCAATCGGTACTTTAATTATTATTCACAATTCTTATGCAGTTTTCGTTCCAAAATGTTGTCTCATGTATTGAACATCTAAAGAAAGAACGTTTTTTGTTTAACGCAAGAAGAAACCTAATTTTTTAACATAACAAAAACTATTTTTTTAACACGGAAGAAAACTTTCTCATTTAACAAAAGAATATAAACTTTTGTTCACTGAAACATATGAACGATGGAATCTGCAGTTGGATCTAAATAGACAAGACAGCATTGATTAAAAACAAGTATCACTTACCAGCTATGGAAAATGCGTGAAGTTCGTTCCAATTTTCTACTGTAATTGGAACTTTCGCGGTTAATAAATGTTTTGTTTCATTTGATAGTAACATTGCGCCTCAAGCGACAGAAAAAACAATGCATTATTACTATTTCGTAATTGGTCTTTCTTTTCTTGTTGATTATTAGCATCTTTGTCATCGGGACAGGTTGATGAGATCGTTTTAGGTAAATGATCTGCAATTTCAGTTTTAATTGATTGTGATATTTGACAAGTTTAGTAAAACTTATCGTAATTGAATAATGCTGGAGTAAGATTTACGATTTGATTACCATAAATTAGTACGACGTTTAATTCTTTTGGCATGTTCAGATACTTGCCAATCAACAAATTACAATTTTGATTTTTTTCTTTTACTACTGTTTCGAAGAGCAGATGTGGGTGTAAGATGAAGTTGATTGGAATAAATCTGAATCCAAGCTAGATAAATTTTATTTAAAAATTAGCAAGATAGTTGTATTTCGACATATACAATCGACAGCTTTAATGAAGAAATCCTCTGGTACTGAATAACAAGATACTTTAAAACAAAAAAAAAACAAAGTTAAATAGACGATATATTGATAATAAAAGTATTCACTTGTGTTGAAAAGTTTGTTGTCAACTAATGCCAATTCAAGTGCAACATGTAGTTGTTGTTTAGATGAGATTCCCGAATCACTTAAATAGATTCAATATATATTTTCTCGAAAAAAAACAAGATTTTATATAATTCACATTGTTACTGGTATGTTATACTCATGTAATAAAAATCGTCTAAAATCCGGCGGTTTACAGCGGTTTTAGCAGTTCGGTTACCGGCTATTTTACAGCAAAAAGTCGCGTTTGTTTTTGGTTAACCATGGTCTACCGCTAAAAGTGAGCCGGTTTTTGTGACATGAGTACTCTCTTGCTATATATTGTTGAATACAGATCGTTTACGAATGAATCCAGATAAAAAATGTAAAGATAAAGTACTAAAATAAAAAAAAATTTACTATTTTCAAAAAAGAAAATATTTCTTTATTTCTTCGTAATGTCGATGATTAAGCAGTTGTGTTATGATTTGATGAACTTGTTATCACAACAATGCATATAATCAGTTAGAATAACTGCTCTTTTATGTAGTGACGACGACGACGACGGTGGATAGTGACGTGGACACAAGAAAAAGATAGAGATTAGTTCATGCTTAGGTACTTTCCATACACTATTTCTGTCTAAAGGATGAGCAATGGATGATTTTGGAAGACCGGCACTACTTCTCGATTCGATGTGATGTCACATATAACTGGCATGCTTTCAAAATAGAGAAAAATAAAAGAAAATGTGGAAAAAGAAATAAAATAAATTGTCCTACAAAGTTCATCGAATATCGACATGTTTAGTTCTCCTGATCATATAATTTCAGACCGTAATAACCGTTTATATTTCAAAAAAAGTTATAAAAAAGATATACACATCATAAAATAATAAATTTGAAAAGTTTATCGTTAGAATTCTATACTAAAAGCATTTTTTTATCTTCGGAAAACGTTCCATATAATCGAAATTCATTTTGTACTAATATATGATACATTCGTTGTGGTGATGGTCTTCAACGTAATTGAGATGAACGAACTATTGATGCATGAAGAATATATTCTTTCCCATCTGATGTTAGAGATTGATTTTTAACTACTGATAAATCACTTACTTGATTTAATGGTGGTTTAGCCATAGTAAACATCGATACTAATTTTTTCCCAAATCGAGTATTTGCAGCGCCTTTGGTCGGCATTTCAGGGTATGTATGAAGTTCTTTTACAAATCGAATAGTTTCTTCCTGTTTTAAAAGCAATTAAGTTTTGATAAGATTAAAAACGAATCTCAATAAACCTTTTCTTGTTGATCGAGATTATGAAAAAAATAGTTTCTATTTAAATGGTTGAAATTGACACATATTGTTTCATGATAGTACCGCCTGTGCCAAAAAGTTTTGAGACATTTTAGAAAGTCTCTATTTGTTATTCGTTTATTGAGATAATCGTTTTATTTTATGTAGTTTAAGTACATACTGGCGCCCTCTATCACTCTGATACAGTGATTTTTTCCTTTTTTGTCGTTGATTTTGAGATGGTGAAAAGTCACAATCTATGAGGTGTGGCTTTTTCCCACTACAAGACTGGAAAAAAGTCACTAGAAATTGCTAAATTATTGGCAAACAAGGTTCATCAGAGTACAATTGATCATCGGCGACGTTAGTATAATAAATCTAGTTCTGTTGAGTGTGGGTATAGATGCAGATATGTGTTCATGAGTGTAATCTGTCAGAATGAGGAAAAGAAGTATGATACAACACGTATACCGAGATCCTTGCCAATATCTTTCCTGACAATGACACGAACACCCACACTCACCCTCTTAAACAGTACAGCAATAGTGCAAATCTTTCACCAATTCACCTCAACGGTTACATTTCTTTCAAATACAAGAGTAGTACATTTGGGTTTCCAATTGCCGACACTTTAATATATAATCAATCATTTTTTCAATCTCAAGAAAGAGCAGAGAAGACGAAGAGCACATGCTACATTTTTCTGTTGCTGCTCGTAATTTCACATATCAGTACCATTTTCTTATTATATCAGCATTCGTATAAACACACGACGCTGATTTCGATTTAATTACCGTCGACGTTATAATGCCCAAACTATCGACAAGATGTAAAGGGAATTCAGTTTTAGTGAAAAGAATCCGATCAGATAACGTACTTCGGCAGAAACGACGTCGAAATGTAACAAAAATAACGAAAGTTATCAAAATAACACGACATGAATCACAGTCACAGGTATGAAATAGTCTCCAAGAGAAAAACAAACAGTTAACGTTTTGATTAACTGACAAAGGTAAAGCTAACAACCATTGTTATGCACATGTGTTTCTCTTAAGGGTACTCAGACATTCGAAGAAGCATTCAGTTAACATGAAATCCAATGACTAATCGTGGGACTTAACTTTCCTGTGTGAATAGACATTACGTTTACTTCACTTATGACATCATCCCGAGATAAATCCAGTTTTGCACGTTGCAACTATCAGGAAAAATTCCATTTTGTCCTTCAGACATTTAAAGTTCAGGATCTCCCTCACAAATGAACTTTTTATTTTTCATCCGAGTTCAACCAAATTCCAGAGAATGTTAGCCTTGGCTACAGTAGATTATGGGTAAAATATCTTCAAGTTATTCACAAGTTATAGTGAATTCATTGGTCAAAATTACTCTTTAAGTAAAGAAGGCTTTTGAAATGCCGATGCGAACTAATATGTTGGGATAATTTCTAAACAGTAGAGTTCACTTAGGACTAGTGTAACGGAAAAATATACTTCTGATCGAAGAATATAAGTCTTGAGAGGAGAAATGGTGTAAAACGTTCGGACAGCAGCGAAACGTAATTGTTTATTGAATAATAGTAAGAAGAACAAATAACAATAAATGTATTGAGTATACACAGCAAAAATACACACTAGATTCTGTTCGTATACATATAAATTCTTTATATGTACTTCAGGTTCAGACTCTATTCCGTTTTCGAGTCTCAATTCAGAATAACTCCTAAGAATGTACGTCACACTAGTTTCGAGTACGTCTTACTCTAACTGGAGACAACTATCAACTACATATATCAGAATATCTCATAGGGAAAAAGAAAAAAGGGGAGAGAAAGGGAGAGAGAGAACGAGAGAGAAATACGGAGAAAAATCCAAGGAGAAAGAATGTATACCGAGAGGAAAGGAAACAGGAAGTAGGGAAGAAAAGATCACGTATTACTGAAATGGATAACAGGAGTGTCGTTCGAAAGGATGTCCGTCTATTTTGTTGGCACAACTAGGTTGCAATAGAGCTCGATTTTTTTAAGAAGACTTTTTCGAAAAATTCTCGAATTCATAGCAAAAGATTGAAAATTAAAATGAAAAAGCTAAGTTTTCGATTCTATAAAAGATGCTCTTTCAACCTGAGTCTGGATGTGAGTGTGAGTGAAGCGGCAATGAGCATTCATACCTAAACTCACAACTTTTTCCATATCCATTCACACCTACATCCATCCTCACACCTACACTGTTCTCTCTAAAGTGTGGATATGGATGTAGGAGACGCTGTGGATATGATTATCCATCACCTCTTCACTCACACCCGCTCCCATACTCGTGTCGCGGGAGTATCTGTCTTGAGAGCAGGATTCATGTTACGAAGTTTTTCATTTATATAAAAGAGAAATTCAAAAATCAGGCTCTATTACCACCTAGTGTGAACTGTCCACTGTGTGGGTGGGGTTGTGGGCAAGGGCGAAATCTCTATTCTGTCGACACTCAGATGCTCGCATCCACACCCACATACATATCCTTTTGCACACGATATAGTTCTAAAACTTTTTGAGATCGTCATTACTGGTTTTAAATTCTCAGCATTTTTCTTTTTTTGAAAGGAGTTAAAATCTGAAAGTTGAAAAATAATTTGCACTTTACCTTCTCATGTTTTCGATGGCTTCATGAGGCATTCTAAGCAATATCTCGACAAGTTACTCTTATTGTTGAATCATGTCTTGTGATCAATGGGATCTGATTTTCGGCTTGTGATTAAACTAGCTTAATCCTTTTGTCATATTTGAGTCTTGTAGAAACTCCACTAAAAAGTTTTCGATTATGATTTTCAAGAAAAGCTACTTGTCAAATATACAAACACTGCAAAAAGCAAGTATCTGATGATAGTAAAATATAAAGCTTTCTTAGCAATGCCCACAACCACTGTTTTTTTCAATTATATTCAAAAAACTATATCTAGTGATTTCGTTAACATCTTTTTACACACGAACAGCAACTCTAAAGTCGAATTTTTACTAGGGAAGTGCTTGTGAACATCTGCTTCTTCTAAAGTTGTGCAGGGATCATATTGACAGAAAAGCTATTTATTCCTGAATAACAAATTTTTCTTAAACGTCGAGGTTTCTCAGGATTTGATAAGAAAGGTAACACTTACATCGCAGTAGTACATAAATGTTCGTCTTTTAAACATTAGTGGTTCTTCTAGAAACTGAAAGTTGATGTAACTGCAAAAGACAGACTTTCATCACTAGATATTTCGCTGATAATGATGCGGGATTCGTAACTATGCACGTATTTTCGGATGTCTCTTGACGGAAACCGCTCACGAGCTATTTTTTTGAACAAACGAACTAAAGTTTCGAAGTGATTTCCATTTCCCCAATGATTGTTTTTTGCACTACCGTCTGAGATTCATCATTAACATTCAGCTAGTACGGTTATTCAACAATTCCCAGTGAAAATCATCTGAAAGATGGATCCTTTACAATTCCACATATTCAAACTGATCCACTTAGTCAAATAAAACCAGTTGTTCTTTACGGAGTAGCTACTACAGTGAATGATACTGATTACATGAAGGCAATTGAAAGGCATTTGAAATCGGTAACTTTTTTTGTTATTTCCTAGTGGACGAGTTGCCTTTCTCCACAGGCTTCAAGCTTTCCAACTGTTTCACAACGATTAATACTATCACTCAGTACGATAATGGCCGATAGCTTGGTTGAATCAAACAATAGAATGGATCCGTTGAGTCAGTCACAAATTCAGGTATCAAAACAGAAAATAGTAATAATGAAACAGTTCTTCATTTTCTTCTCGTTTTCACTCAGTCACCATATGCTAAACAAACAAAGAATGATATCAGGCACGATCAGAATCCTGAGCGCGATCAAGGACGAATTGAAAAACACAGTTCATTTCGCCCTTCGTACTTGATAAGACTTTTGAAGATATTATTTTCGTTACGTTATTTCAATCGATTATCAAAAGTTGAGAAAGACAAGCAAACCCGAAATCGATCGAACTTTCGTACTACGATTGTCGTAAGCATCAGATTGTAACATTCATGAGTTTAATTCTTTTTAGTTTAAAAATGGACATAAAAAAGACACAAATCAACGAACGCGAAAAATGATCATCAACAAATACTTTCGACGCGAAACCAGCAACGAAACTACGTTTGCCGAAATGTATAATATTAGGGTGTGTGTAAGTGTGGGTGTGGGCGTGGGCGTGTTTGGTGACGATGAGAGTGATACCCACCCATACCCCACACCCACATCCCTAGACCCACACTCACGCCCACACCCACATCACTACACTCACACTCGCACCCACACCCACACCCACACCCCTACACCCACACCCACACATCACCCTGGATCGGCTTGCGTCAAAATTCATAAAACTCTTCCCTCTACAACATATCTTAAATTGAGCAAAATCTGGCGACATCGATTGAGCAACTTCGGTCGTGGCTTTCATGGACTGGCTCATATGACAACTGTTTAATCTCAAGTTAGCTCTACTGTTTCTACAAATCTCAAACCCCAAATCCAAGTCCTACAACCAAATCCAAACCCAAGCCCCAAATCTAAAACATTCGTACAATCCCAACACCAAATCCCAAATTCTCACAAAATTTGCAGCACCCATAAATTAAACTAGGTTTTCAAAATCATTTTTTCTTCAAACATGTAGCGAAGTATCTCGTCTAATGAATAAAACTAGAACATGATTCGGTTCCATTGAGAAAACTATTGTAAGTTTAATAATCTTATGTTTGAACGCAAGAAATAAGTACCGTAATTCAGAAACAGTTTAGACTTAGACTTTTTAGAATATATGGGTAAGACTTATTCATCAATGCAAGCATAATATCCATTTACATGACACCAGATGAAGAATGAAATCTTCTTTGATTGGTACGATCTTTATTGTTAGTATCATTTCATGTGACTATCTTACATTTAGGTTTCAAATTTCTCTTTCCTGTTTACGTCTTACATATATACGTTAAACCTGAGAGAACACAAATAAAAGAATCATTAGAGTAAAAGTTATTTGATAATATCTCAGTTCAATCTATATGTGCAGACAATAAATGGTTTTGGAAATTTCAACAGTATCATATTATTCAGGCTTTAGCTTGAATCTGTTGTAAGAAACATATGACATTTATCTATCACATGTTTCAAATCACATCGTGAGTTTGTTCTTTCAGTTGATCTCTTAAATTGTATCACATATTCAGGATATGCTTGGCCACCATCATATATAATAAATTCACGATAATTTAATCGGTCTCCACCGTATTTTTTACATTCGCCCATTACAGAGTCGTACAATTCTTCTAAATTTTGTTTTTTCGGTGGTCGACGTACAGGATGATGTTTATCTATCCCACGATAAATATCTTTTTTGTATTGTTTTACTATATGCACATCTCCTAATATTGTTCGATAAAGAATAATTGAAAATTCGAAATCTTCTTGATTATTACATTTACATTGAGGCTCACGTAATATACAATTTTGTGCACAACCAGGGCATGGAATATATTGATTAGATTTACTTGAGTTTTCTGCTAAATAAAATCCACCTCCAAACATTCCATCTACATTTGACACTCGAGGGTCATAACCAGTCTTTAATAAAGTTGGTAGTATTTTAGAATCAGAACCATGAAATAGCCAATATTCGTTTGCTCTTGCATCCAATAATGGTACCAGCAATGGGCAACCTTGTAGGTACTTTGAACTTTCTGAGTTCTCTAATTGTTTATTATTATTCTTCATAATTCGTTTCTTAAATAGAAAAAAGACTACTATTGAAACTCTAAGTAAAATCAATTAAAATCTAAGCGATAAATGGCATTTTTGCTAAGTTGTTTATTGAAAATAATTTCAAGAAACAAAAATATCTTTTTGCTTAGTTTTTTTAGTTCAATTTTCTAGGCAAAATATTCAAAATCTTTAGATATATGTATAACTTTTGTTAAGTAAGGAAGCATAAATATCTAAGCAAAAGAATAAATTATACAGCTACTGTATTAACAGAACTTCCTGTTACTTGTCGTAGTCGTCGTCGTTTTTTCTTTCATCCGAAAGTATATCCTTTGCTGATGGAGGTAGTTTGCAAAACCGCAACCTATTAACTATACAAATAATATGGCAAACATTTTTGGTGCATCCTAGCCCTTCCACCAGCAGCTCTTGCTAAGTGATGAATTCCTGCTGGTAATACTCCAGAGATTGAAAAAAACCAATGAAGAAAATTCCCCAGAATCTTCTGTTCGTAGATCCGAAAAGCATAGTGAAAAGTGAGAGAATCTTTGCGAGAATTTCCGGAATGTTCTTAAAAAATATTTGAGGGTTGTATGATTTTTTTTGTAAATCATCTCTGAGCAATTCTTTGAGGACTCGCTTGAAAATTTCCTCAACCCCCCCCCTCTCCCCCAGATATTCACGTAGAAAGTTTCTCATCTTTCACTTTACTTTTCGGAAGTCTCGACAAAACTTTTTCCAAGCTTGGCTCGACTCCACGGGCGTGCAAGGCAAGAAATCCCCCATAGATTCTTTATTTTTGGTGACTCTTTGAGGATTTGTTTTGAAAAAATGGACTGGAAATGTTTGCTAAAGGGTTCTCTGAAGAAACTTGAACGAGTGCAAAGCTCGTTTTGTCATCTCGATGCATTGTCTGATAAAGTTACTTTCCACATTCTAAGCCTAAGGTCTTTGCACAATTTATGCATACCATCAGAACAAAAGCAAATACAGGTGGAGTATATAAATGTATGGATACATAAGTTTCAGTTGCAACTGAATGACTGAGCACACGGTCGAACTGTGAGCAAACCACTACTGAAGATCCAAGAAATCCATTAGTGGACTGGATAACGCATTCCGTGCCATACTCTGTTCCATTGCATATTCAGATTGAAAGGACTGCTACACTCCCATATTTGTATTGATACCGATTTAGTTCCCGCCCCCCCCCCTCGAAAAAAGTCAATTTTCGTCAGAATCATCAAAATTGAGATAAATACATGAGAAGATAGCTCGACTTCTGTTTTTTCATACCTGATAATAAGTTTTCCCGATACTCCATTTTTGACCAACATTTTCAAAAAGTTTTGGCATCCCCTATTGGAAAAACCAGCTGTTTTTTGAAAAACCAAGAAAAGTTTTCCGTGTTTTCTTGATTCACGATATCTCGAACGCGCGACCCAAATTTCTCAGTAGGTCCATGCAATACATTTCAATTTCTTTTTGTTGGAAAGAGCGCGTCAAGATGCAGAGCACCACAGAGCCCTTTTTTTAAACACGCTTGTCTATAACCATATAATAAAGCATCTCTATAGAAAAAAAAAAACATTTTTTAGGGGGTTTTCAAATCATTGAATTTGTGACTCCTGCTTTCCGCTGAAAAAGTAAGAATTTAAAAAAAAAGGATTCTATGGTGCCCTGCATCTGGACATGCTCTTTCAAACAAAAACAAATAAAAATGTAGCATGAACCTGGACCGAGAAATTTGGGTTGCCAAATCGGCTATTGTTGACCCTTGCCAGGTCCTTATCTCAGTCAAACATCATGATAGGGGGCTGAAAATTTAATCATAGTCTCTCCATACCGGGCCCAACATATCCTGAAAGTTTCATGCAATTTGAGCGTTCCTGAGCTAAGATCGATTATAGAGGGCGGGGGGGGGGGGTTTTAGTGTTGATGGAAGGAAAGTACGAGAGAAAATGTATACGCTACGCCACCATAAGATAATACGGCTTATTTAAGATAGTCGTACTTTGCCGCCTTTATTCAACTTACTCAGCAATTTGATTGTTTTAGTGTAGTTCCAATTTTTTTAATGTAGCAAAAAGTTCTTTTTACTTGGTTATTATTTTGTTGAACTTAGCTATTTATTTTTACTCAGAGACTTTTAGTTAACTGAGCGTTCAATATGTTTACTTAGCATTCGAATTTTTTACTCAGCAGATAGAAAACCTACTTAGTCAAAGTCAACTTAGCAATTGAATACTTTTACTTATCAAACAAGTTGTGGCCAAAGAAAACAATAAAATAAAACAATATTAATTCGAATTCAACATCGATGTAATTTGCTCATGCGTTTAGTATTGTTATAATGTATCTTTAATGAAATTTTTCAAAAATAAAAAAAATTATCTGGCTACACGATTTATTATTGAAAAATGAAATTGTTTATTAATGACTCAATTAAGTTTATTTTATAAATGATTGCCTACAGCGTAGGGAGACTTCCAACATATTACGCAGTCCTTGTTTCTAAGAAAATAAATATGACTATTGTGCTTACCTTTTTGAAAGAATATTCTTGCCAGAGATCTTTGTTATGGACTCGAGTTAATTTGGTGATTATGAATTCTGCCGGATCTCTTCCATAGATTGTTCCCCATCTATTGCCATGCTGTCCAACTGTGTTATTCAGTAAATCTCTAATGATCCTGAATTCACTTGAATTAGGATTGACATTTATTTCCAGATAGGATTCACTTAGTGCATTTTTACCCCAATAAACAGGTGTATTATATTTGATTGGTAAAACACCTTCCGCTTTCGATTGAGCATTTTTGTGAGGATGAAAATACTTTTTGAAGTGGGCTGGTTTTTTTCTATAACAACCTGTGCCATATTTGCACGGAGGTTGTGTTTCATTACTTGGTGGAAAATTTTTGTCACAGTCTTTTGGTTTTTGTGGATGAGAATATTCTTTCAGGTGGGATGGGTTATTGTTATAGCAATTGATACCATACCTGCATGGTATTTGCTTATTTTGACAAGTTAATTGGTAGTCATTGTCAGAGTCTGACAGTTCTGGTTGATGAAAATACTTTTCGAGGTGAAATGGATCATCTCTTCTATTACAATTAGTACCAAATTTGCATGGTGTTTGCATGTCTTCGCAAGTGGATGTAGAGTCATCGTCAGAGTCTGTTAGTTCTGGTTGATGAGAATACTTTTCGAGGTGAAATGGATCATCTCTTCTATTACAATTGGTACCAAATTTGCAAGGTGTTTGTATCGTGTAAAAGTTCATTTTAGCGAAGATTTTCGCGCTGTTTTTATTTTTCAATAGATCTATTTTAATTGACAGAAGATACATTTAATAGAACGTCATTTGGAGGGAGCAGAAACGATAAATATGAAGAACATTGAGCACCGGAAAGTTTAGCATAAAAATAGCCGGGGGACATGAAAGTAAGTGCTTGCGTACAATTACGCATATGGTTCTTGTCTTCGCACAGAGCAGTAGAAAGTGGTCTTCATTTGGGTCCCGCTGTTATCGAAATAAAAAGTAGTTGACGTCTCCCACCAGGTTTCTTTGCCGTCGAATTTCATTTCATGTTATTAGACTTTGCCTGCTGGTCCTCAAAATCGAATGGATCCTGGCTTGAAAAGACAGAGTACTAGACTCCAGAAAAGTTTTCTGACCCGACAGAAATTATTCACAAAAGATTAGTTAACTACTTTGATACGGAAAACATTTATCTATCAGAGGCGATAAATTTTTATTGCTGAGATCTATTTCGACTCAAAACTTCTTGGAACCGATGGTTTCTACTCTTCATAGATCCAAATCTGTGAATATAGATGATATGAACAAAATGCAAAGTTTTATTTATGTTTAGGTGAGAGCTCTTATGTAAGTTCAGACAAAAAATATACCCTTAGAGTGCCTCAAAAGCAGTTCACATACTTTCCATGCATTTTTCATGATGTTACTTTTGTTGGTGCTGAATTTTTCGATGCTCAATATTCCTACTACTAATCATTGGATATTGCGTTGAGACCATTTATTAAGAACATTCGGACAAAAATCCCATTCTTGAATTTTTCGCCTTGATTTTCTTCAGATTTATTATATTTCGAAGGTCCACGCATCTCTCCGAGACGTACAATCGAAAAAAGCTGTTAACGCAATTTCTTGCGGGATTAAAATGTGAAACACGATATACCCATTGCTACCGAATCCCTGAAAAAACTCTTCATTTTCTGCATATCAGAACGCACTTCTTCATTGCTGCTAAATGTATGGCGGCTAAAGTCAAAATTCAACCACTTGATAAGCTTTTCTATTAGATACCACATATATAAGATCTCCGGTTCTCATTCCGATTCATCAATCAGTGTTGGACCCACCTTATAAGGTGTCCGTTCTGAATGTTAATCGCTTCTGGACGAGTCTACCATAGTTTGTGATGGTCCGCGCAGCATGTCTGTTATGGTCTGAAGGAAATTGAGGGAGTGAGTGCGAACTTCTACCCTAAACACTTCAACACTCCTTTCAGATCGTGTTTCACAAAAGTTGCAAAACATCTAATTAGTTGAGTGAGCTACTCATCAATTTTCAGACAAGTATGAAATTTGCATTCTTAATGATGAACAATAAAATGATTATGGCATTTCGATTGATCTAATCACCAATTAGTGAATTAAGGTATGATTTGAGTATTGAGAAGTTAAATAATACAGGAGAATAGCGTCTCTGAAAACTTACTCACCATTACTACTAGCTTTCCATATAGTTAAGTGTTCTATTTCTTCAAAAACAATGTTATGTAACATCAATGAATTTTCAAAATTTCTAGAAAAGTCGAAAAAAGAAAATATATCTCTAGGAATTTTCTGAATGTCCAGACACGGCCGATCTCATTCTATCGGTTCAGTTTTAAAAGCTTATCTCTCATCCGTCAATTCTACATTCTTTGTAAATTTTCATTTATCGCGAAAAAAGCTGTTAGAATGACTACTGTGTTTGTGGC